AGAGACCCGGGGTGCTGGTTACCCTGTTGCAGCAGGAGAGACCCGGGGTGCTGGTTACCCTGTTACAGCAGGAGAGACCCGGGGTGCTGGTTACACTGTTGTAGTAGGAGAGACCCAGGGTGCTGGTTACACTGTTGCAGCAGGAGAGACCCGGGGTGCTGGTTACACTGTTACAGTAGGAGAGACCCGGGGTGCTGGTTACACTGTTGCAGCAGGAGAGACCCAGGGTGCTGGTTACACTGTTGCAGCAGGAGAGACCCGGGGTGCTGGTTACACTGTTGCAGTAGGAGAGACCCGGGGTGCTGGTTACGCTGTTGCAGTAGGAGAGACCCGTCAGAAGTCTGTTAGGCATCCCGCGAAGATCAGGGTCTGCTGCACGTCACCCAGACCTCTCAGGCCATCCGGAGCGGGCAGGGCTCCGCATACCTGCAGAAACCCGAGCAAGACTGAAGACGAGCTCCTTGCCATGCCTCATGGCTGGTTCTAGACCAGGATTCATTGACCTCTGCCTATTTAAAAGGGCATTTTTTTTAAGCCTCAAAGTCAAAATTCAAGCATGAGCCTGTAGAAGAAAAAAAAGCACTATCTATGGAAAGCAGTCCCATCCTAAAGATTTAAGGGCAGAGGTAGCTCTGAAAATAGATCTCTGCAGTAAACAGACGAGACTTTTATAGGACGCATCTGCTCGTTGATGTCACAGAGATGGGCTGCATGGCTGTGACCTGGGAGCCAGGAACCCAAGGCGAGGCAGGCCCCGGAATGAAGGCAGACATCCAAGGGTCTGAATGGAATAGACGATGGATACAGAGACAGCAACAATGTAAAAGAAGAGTTTAGTTGTGTATTGGGAGCTGCAAACAACATAAATGTAACTGCAGGAAATAAAAACAGCGGTATGGGGACTAATCCTAAAACCAAGAGATAATTCACAGAAAAAAAAAAAAGGCAAAGAAATGGAGTTAAACAGAGAGAGAGAGAAGTTGGCAGGTGCAGGGGATGGAGGATATCTAACTGAAGAGTCGTGGATGCTCCTGGCGTGGGAACCTCAACGGCATGAACAGAAGGAAGAAGCATATTCGAGTGCAAAACGTGGCGTCAGAAGGAATATTACCTGGGCTGGAGGAAGCCGCCGACGAAAAACAAAACACAACCACATAACCATTTCATGGTGGTATCTTGGGATTTCAAGAACAAAGGAAACCCCTGTGATCACCACCCAGGGGATATTAAGAAAATGGAAAGACAAGAGAACAAGAATCCCCACAAACACAGTCTCCCTGTCCTCCCAGCTCAGTGAGACTTAGAACCAGACAAGAGGGAGCGTCATGTCAAGAATTTGATTGAAAAATCATTTTACTTATGATGTTGTTCAGATTTCTGGTTTTTGTTGTTGTTGTTGTTTTGTTGTTGTTTTTGGACAAAGTAAATAGACAGTTTTAGATTTGCAGGGATTTAGAAAGCGTATCAGTTATGCTGATAAGGACGGGAGAACTGCTTTACATACAGAAATAATGCAGTCGTGGCAGTGTGGACAGGAGAACCACTAGTCCAGTGCTGATGGGCTGGACAGAATAACTGCATGGCCCACAGGAGAAGCTGGGCAGGAGGACCACAGCCACTTGCAAAATGCTTGAAGTTTATATAGCATTTTCGAATAGCACCTTCCCCCTGGCAGGCTCCACCTGGTAGTCTTCATTCAACCCCATATCTGGAACCTGAATCCCCTGTGTAGGCCACGTTCCACAGGATGGGTTGGGGGCTCACATGTTCCTCAAAGACAAGGAACAAAGCTCCGGGTTGGCCGCTCCTGGCTTCCCTAGCTCAGAGCACACATTCATGTGCATCTGCCATACAGGTCATTCGCAGGGTATGCTTATATCATTGCTGTCAGGTACCTTTGTCATACAGCCACCCACATACCTTTCCTGAATAGGTGAATAAAAGCTGCACTCAGGTAAATCAGGAAAGAAAGAAACATCAGGAGCTGAACATTGAAAAGGTCACATATAAGATGATTCATGGTGACCAGTGACACCAGTTGAATACACAGAGCTGGATATAAATAATTCCTGTAGCTACGGTTATAAAATTGAATATAAGATTCACAGCACTGTTATTTCATATACTCTGTATAGTATGAGAAACAATTGGTGCATGGTAATAACTGGTCTGTAACCTCTAGTTAAACTAAAAAAGGCAGCAGGCAGTGGCAGGCTGGAGTCTCTCGTGGGAGAAGGAGCCATGATGATTTAAGTCATTAAAGAAATGATGTAGTCATTCGGAGTGCATTTGCTTAACGTAAAGGCTGTCACAAATAGACACAAAAATGTAATTTCAACTAAACAGAGTAAAAAGCAAGTGAAACGTGTGCATGTGTGTAAAGGTGAGATCAGCCGTGAAAGGAACATAACCAGGAATCAACTTGGATCATAGTGCTCAGGACACAATTTCAATATCGGTGAAGACATTAAACGTAAATGGATTAGTCTCATCTATTAAAAAGCAAAGACTATCAAATCAAGTGTTGAAAATAGCCACATATGTGTTGCTGTCTAAGGGCGATCCTACAAAAAACAATAAGGTTAAAAGCAAAAAGTGAGTAAATAAAGATATATCAGGCAGACACAGTTGAAAGGAAATTGAGAGGTAAAGCGTTAAATGGGAACAATACTGTCATATATTGATATTTACTTATTGACACATTTATGCCTTACAGTTCAGACTGTAATGGAAGTATCACATTCAGACATCTTTATGCACTGATCAGCATACATAAGAATACGTTATGTAAACACAGTTACAAATCAGAAACTCAATTTTTAGCTGAGATTTAAGTAACTTTTCAATCTGTGTTAAGGCCAGGTAAACACCAGCAGTAACAATAGAAAGCAGTGTATAGATCTTTTGAATCCTACAATTAACTAAAATCAAATTTTCAGCCATGTGTCTAAATTATAGCATACAAACAAGGCAGCTTCCAATTTTCAGTCATTTTTGAAATCTCTACAAAAAGCCGTAAATGAAGTCATGAATTAAATCACACCAGGAGAAGAAATGCACCCACCCTCTTTTCCCAATGATAATGCACTGTATTTAAAATTGAGACTTACACCAAAATATAAAGGCCTTATTAACCAGAACTTTCTTATAATGTGTTAATTGACTGATACAATAAAACAAGAAGCCACTCTCTGAAAAGGTCACATGCAGTGTCTGAAGTCCATCTGCTGGTGTCCGGTGCTGGATAGAGCAACTGCCAGCCGGTTTACTTGAAGCAAGCTTCTCTTTCTATGCCTCAGTTTCTACATTTATAACACGAACAAAATACCACTTCCGAGGGCTCCTGTAAGCATTGGATGATTGTGTGTATTAAAGAGATTGAGCAGGGCCAGCACTTCGGAGCAGTGTCTGCATTTTAGTTAGTGAGATCCCATTTAGAATGTTGTGGGAATAACACACGGTACTTTTGCAAATAGAGTGAATGATACTCATCAGTATATGTGTGTCTTTAAATGCCTTTATCTTCAGATCGAAAGCATGAACACAAAGAGCTTCAGCGGGGGAAAGCCACCCCTCCCCCAAGGAGGAGCAAACATCTGGTCAAATGAAAATAAATATTAGTGAATTTTAAAAAGAAAGGCATAGAATTTATCATTGCACCTTTAACAAACCTATAAAAACGTGGTTTTACTTTTTTACACAAATTGTTTTGTATCAAAATAAATCTGGAACCAGGAATCGGATGACTGGGCTGAAACGGGCTGAGAGCTGCACCTCCTGCACCAGCCAAGTTGCAGAGCAAAGGGAAAATGATTTACATGTGTATGTGTAGCTAGTGTAAGAATCACTAAATCTGGAAATTTTGATTAAATATATACATTTTTCTAGGGGGAAAACTACCAAACATAACTGAAGGAATAGATAAATGTCAGTACCCTTCAGGAAAACTTTCAGACCGAAATACCTGAATAGGCACATTGCTTAAAATATGTGGTGTTCAGGTGTCTTTCCCCAAATACTGGAAAATATGGAAAATCATCCAGTTTGTTTTAGGACATAAAATATTTTATATTTATCTATAAATATACAATATGTAAATTTTATGTTTGTATAAAATGCCAATTTACAAATATAAATCTGAAAGGAGGATCAGATTATGAGGCTGAGATGGACTGCAAAGGAAAATGAAATTGTTCAGAAGTGTTTGTGTAGCCAGTGTATTGATGAGTACGCCTGGAAATTTTGCTCATATAACTTTGAATGATATAAAACAAATATAAATTTTAAATATATACATATAAATTTTGAGGGTGGGGAGGGATAACCTGGGGAGAAACGCTGGATATAATATACACCTAAAGTAAAATAAATAAATACGTGTGTGTGTGTGTCTGTGTGTGTGTCTGTGTGTGTGTGTGTGTGTGTGTGTATTTAGGAACTAAAGTATTTTAGGAATCTCAAAAGATAAAAAAGTACCAATAATCATTTCCTTCCACAAAGACTTTTGAACCTGTGATGTGGGCCAGGCACTATGTGAGGCACGACATTCCTCCAGGAGTGGACACCCACCCAGCCTTGTCCCAGGGCAGCAGACACATCTGGGCTATCCACGGCCCTGGAACGGGCATCCTCTGGTGTCAGTGCTGTGTGACATGCCCATTGCTCGCACCTCCATAAAATAACAGCACGGTGCATTCTGAGAACTTTAAAAGAAAACAAAGAAAAGGCCCCCAGCAATGCACGGAGCCCACCTGAGCCGTGAAAGTGTGTTTGCCACAGGCCCGCCTTGCTGTATTGCGCTCTGCTGTCCTGCACTTGCAAACCTTGCCGTTGTCGCAGATTGGTTTGTGGCGGCCCTGCCTTGAACCGGCGTGTCAGCACGTATTTCCTACCGCATGCGATGTTACTATGCAGTTTCTTGGGGGGCACCAGGAGCCATGCCCGTGTAAGATGGCACACATTACCGATGGATGTTTTCTGCATTTTTGACCTCTCCACAGACCGGCTGGTCCTGCCTCTCCTCTCCTTGGGCCTCCCTGTTCTCTGAATCAACAATATTGAAATCAGGCCGATGAATAACCCTGCAGTGGCCTCTGGGTGTTCGAGGGAAAGGAAGTGGCGCACACCTCTCACTTTAAGTCGGAAACTGGAAGTGATCAAGCTTCCCGGAGAAGGCGTGTCGAAAGCCGAGACAGGCTGAAAGCCGGGCCTCTTGCACCCGTCGGCCAAGTTAAAGAGCAGAGGAAAAATTACTGGAGGTCATTACAGGCGCTGCTCCAGGGAATATATGAATGATAAGAAAGAGATCATAGAGAAAGTTTTATGGTCTGGAGAGAAAAATCAAACCAGCCACAACATTCTCTTAAGCCAAAGCCTAATCCAGAGCAAAGCCCCAACTCTCTTGAATTCTGTGAAGGCTACGAGAGGGGAGGAGGCTGCAGAAGGAAAGTTGGAATCTAGCAGACACTGACTTTGGAGTGTTAAGGAAAGAAGCCGCCTCTACCGTATAAAAGTGGCAGCAAGTGCTGAGGGAGGTGGTGGAGCACGTTCTCCGGGAGATCCAGCCCAGGCCATCGGTGAAGGCGCTACATTACGACGACAGATTTTCAGTGTAGATGAAACAGGCTTCTACTGGAACAAGATGCCATTAGGACTCTTCCCAGTGGAGAGAAGGAGTCACTGCCCGGTTTTGAAGCACCAAAGGACAGGCTGTCTCTCTTGTGAGAGGCTAACGCAGCTGGTGACTTGAAGTTGGAGAGCTGGTACTCATTACCCATTCTGAAAACCCTAGGTCCTTGAAGAATCAGGCAAACCTCCTCTGCCTGTGCTCCCTAAAACGTACAGCAAGGCCTGGATGGCAGCACATCTGTTTATGGTGTGGATGACTGAATATTTTAAGCCCGCTGATGAGACCTACCGCGCAGAACAGAAGATTCCTCTCAAGATATTACTGCTCGTTGACAACGCACTTGGCCACCCAGGATCCAGATGGAGATGTTCAGGGGGATGAATGCTGTGTTTCTACTGCTAACATGCATCCATTCTGCAGCCCATGGTCATTTTGACGTTAAAGTCTTGTCTTTTAAGAAACACATTTTGTCAGGCTGTAGCTGTCACAGTCGTGATTCCTCTGATGGGCCTGGGCAAAGTCAATTACAAACCTCGTGGAGAGGAGTCACCATTCTAGATGTCACTAAGAACATATGTGATTCGTGAGACGAGGCCAAAATCATCAAAATTTGGAAGATGTTTATTTCAACCCTCACAAGTGGCTTTGAGAGAATTCAGGATTTCGGTGGCAGAAATCACTGCAGATGTGGTGGAAATAGAGAATCAGGCTCGTCCGTTTGTGCGTTCATTCACACATTGTGCACATGTGTGGGACGCACAGCAGCAGAGTTCAGCAGGTGCAAAAGAGAACCTGTGGCCCCCAGAGCCACAAATGCGTACTTTCTGACTCTGCAGCACAAGTTTGCCAGCTCCTGGACCAAACCAATAGAAGTTCATCACCCCCACCTGCCAAGAGTAGATTGGCAGTCACCTGTGCAGTGCTGGCCAGGATGGGAAGCTGGTGAATTTGCTGGTACCTTTAGGAGACACGGCTCTGCGTATGTAAGAGGGAGCGCCCAGGCACAAAAACCAGTTGCTTCTGACTTCAGGCAAACATGTTTCCAACTGTCATGATTTTATTACAATAAATACATGAAATAAATGAGAGGGGAGGGCCCTACTGACCACAGCAGAAAACAAAATAACTTGGAAGAACATTAGTGAGAAAGGGTTGGCACCAGCATAAAGGGCAAAGACTTACTGTGCGAAATGAGAACAGCCTGGCACAGAGGGACGCTGTAGAACACTGCCATGTGGGTGGGAGGGCAAGGTGTCCCAAGGCCGGCTGCTGTTTCAAAAGTTCACCTTTACCTTGAACACACCTGGAATCCAACTTCCCATGGGTTTTATGAGATGATTTCACGTTCCACCCCAGAGTGCAATCCAGTCTCGGGTGTCTGAGACTTTGTAACGGAAGACTCACCCAGGCATCCTCATCCTGCTGCCGTAGACATGGTGTGGACAGCAGGAGAGGAGGAGCTGTCTGGGCTCTGGGCAGCCTGTGAGCAGCTCTGGGATTTGGGCGGCCTGCCTGGCACAAGCCTGGGTCCAACCACTGGCCCGCCTCAGGAGTTAACACAAGAACCACGTTCGGCAGAGTCCCCGCACATAATTAAATGCTGAACAAGACGTTAGCTCTTCTGACCGCTGTTTTCTGATCCACAAAAGAGATCCAAGAAACAGCCCAGCTCTGAAATGAGCCCAATGATCCTGAGACGTGAATATGGACTCAATAAGCATCTCAGATCAGTGAGGATGGGACACAGTTCCCCGCAGCAGGTACTGGCAAAATCAGCTTTGGATTGGGGGAAAAACCCAGGTGGGACTCTGACCTCACACCATGTTCAAAGCCAAATTTTCCAGGGATTGTGGAGTGAATGAGGGCAAGGAGGAACTGGAGAGGAACATTCAGCTGCGGCGCTGTGAGGAAGGGCACTGCGACACCAAACCCAGCCGGAGAAATCCGTGATGGCAGCAGACACCCACCCCATGTGCCTGAGCACTCAGGTGGATTAACTCATTCTGACCACTGATCATGGGCTGCAGGCTGTTCCCATCCCGTCTCACAGATGAGGAAACAGAGGCACCGTGCTGGTAAGTAACGTCCCGAAGGCCACCCACGAGCAGCAGCACTGGGATCCTACCCAACAGCTGGGAGGAGCTGGAGCCCCTGATGTCCTCTAGCCACCCCGACTGACTCCAGAACCCCAAACACAGGGCAGTCAAGAGACCAGAAGGCAGATGGCAGCATGAGGAGGAGGAGGTGGGTCCCAGCCGGCGAGCGTGTCTCATCACCTTGTGATACTCACCCTCCACGGGAAGATGGGCAAAGTCTGCAAATAGAGAATTCCCAAAATACGAATTGAAGCGGCCAGGAAAAACAGCAGAGACAGTCACTGCCAAGCAGGTGACCAACATGTGCACACAGATGCCGCTGGGTTCATTTGTGGTTTGATTTTTATCTGATTTTCTTTTGAGTGGACTTGAAGGATGCTAACAGGAATGAGGTCCACCAGTCTCTCTGGAAAGCAGTTATGCAGTATCCGCTGAGAGAATCTGAAATTTGTACTCATCCTGCTTTGGAAGACAGTTTGGCAGCGGCCAAAGATGATGGAGTTACCGAGGGGTCCAGCACTTCGTACTCCTAGAGTCCATCCACCCAAGAGAAATGAGAACGTGTCCACACGCAATCCTGGACATGCCTGTTCTTCACAGCACTGTTCCCAACAGCCAGAAAGTGGAAACAGCCCAGGTGGTCATCAGCGGACTCACAGAGACACCTTCCTATACAGCCAGGACTGGAATATTACTCAGCCTTAAAAAGGGATGGCGTTCTGAAGAACCGCCAAAGGGGAGGGACCTCGGAAACATGGTGCTGAGTGAAAGGAGCCAGTCACAACAGTCTTCCCTGGAGGAGTGCAGTGGTGTGAAGCGCCTGAACGGGCCAGGCCACGGAGGCTGAAAGTGGCCCCGTGGCTGCTGATAATAGGCGTGGCTTTTGTTGGAGGATATGAAGGTGTCCTAAAGTTGATTGTCATGATGGTTGCCCAACTCTGGGGATATGCCTCCCACCAGGGCAGCTCGGGGTCCTCATGGCTACTTGGGGTGGCCATTTGCCACTGCTCAGAATTCAGTGCTATGATGGGACACATTCACTGTCTCCAGCTCCTCCTTTTACCACCGGGTTCTAAACCAAGCCACCCCTAGTATGAGTGTCGCACCTGGATCCTGGTATTCGTGATTCAGAACAGCGAGCCTGAATGCTCTGCTCTCTTCTCCAGAAAGGGAAAATCATGGCCTGTCTGTGAAGGCAGCAGCTCAGTAGAAATAGCCAACTGCAGCCCGCCACTAGCCCAGCACTGCTGAGGACCCTCCCCCGCATCAGGGCCCAGTTTCTGGAAGCTTCTAGGAACTTCTCAAAGACCCAAAGATAGCTCTGAGGCAAAGAAAGGAAATATGCCATTGGAAAGACAGAAATATAATTTTCCCATATTTAAAGTTTTTTTTTTTTAAACATAGAAGTAAGTTAGACTATTTAATCAACCAAGAAAGATGTATTCTTACAGCTTAGCAACTTGCAGAAAATGTTGAGACTGCCATCTGGTTCTCTGTCAACGCTAAGTGAAAGAGTACACACCTTTCTTTCCAGGGTCCTGGCACTGCCCACCCTGCGTCCCTCCCTAGCTCTCCGCCTCATGGCACAGAAGGGCTGCACGATGCATGCCTGTGCACGCTAATTCCAGCTTTGATTAGGGTGGAATCATCCTGGAGACGTGTGCACGCAGGCACTGTGTCCTCTGGGGCAGGCAAGTGGCTGGCACTATAATTGCTGAGACAGGGTTAGACAGCTATAGCAGTCCACATGTCTCCAGAGGTGATAACTGATCTTTGAGCTCAGTGCTCAGGTTAACAATGACCTATAAAGGACGAAGTGGAGAGCAGATCTGGGAGGGGCATGTGATGGCTTGGTCCGCCTCTGTTTGTCATGGGTTTGCTTGCCTTGCTTGGGGACTGGGTCACCTGGTGCATCTTTCCCTCTCGGAGCTGACGGCGCCTCCCATGCATTTACCGTGCCCGGTTCCCTTTATTCCCCTGCGTGAGGCGCAATTCCTCCGGAGCCGTCAGCACACGCTGAGTCAGCAGAAGCTCTGGGGTCTCTGCCTCCTCGACTGCCCTGCCTGGGCCACAGGGTCTGCTTTCCACATGGGAGGTGGGTCGGTGCCCTGATGTGCTGATTCCTCAGAGCCCACTGAGTGCCCATCTTCCTGGGCACTGCCACCCACACCCACCCCAGCTCACTGTTCTTAACTAGCATGGAGAGGAGCTCGTGCTGCAGGCCCCTCTCCGTTAGCCCTGGAGAGGGTGAACGGGTGTTCCAGGCTTTTTAACAGGACCCAACAGTGACTTTGCTAACCGGGAGCCCCAAGGAGAAGCCTCCACCCCACCGTCCTGCATGTGGCCTCCCTGACTAGCAGGACACAGGGCAGGAGGTGGCTGCAGGAGTAGAGGTCCTGGGTGGGGCAGGTGAGCCAGTGGCTTTGGGGACGCACAGAGCCTCCAGACTCGGGCCCTCCCTGTGTGTTTGCAGATGAGACACAGCAATATCCTCCACTCTGGCTGCAACGACCAGTAACCTTCTCGCCTGTAAGGAACAGCAGCAGGAGCTGGGCTGTGCAGCTCACCAAGGGGCTGGGGTAGAATCAGGGACTCTCCACCTTCCAGAGCCTCATTTTCTCCATCTGTGCGTGAGCTCAGTGAGCTTTCCCACCGCATAGTGAGCAAAGGGGACCTGCTTGCTAAGGGGCAGGGATGGAGCTGTCCCCTCGCCTTGGGTAGCCGGTCTGCCTCGAGCTTCTCCCTTCCTAACTTGGCAGCGCTATGGCTTCAGAACCGTCTCCATGGACGTCCAGCACCGTCACTGGCCCACGCTCTCAGCCAGGGACAGATGCCAGAGAGCGGATGGGCTCAGCATGTCACATGTCCACCCCCGGATGGAGATTTGCACATGAGAGCCCAGCCCTGGTGTTGGGGCAGTTCACAGAGAAGGGGTGGCTGCCATGTGACCTTGCAGGGTCTGCAGGTGCAGTGCTAAGGATGTGCCCCCTACAGCTGGCCTCAGAATTACCCTGTTCTCGGTGGGGCTCAGTGACCCCTGCCCTGACCCCTGAACACCCTGGGACTGTGGCAGGTGAGCAGTGGAGCAGGGACGGGGAACGGCCCTAGAAATAGCAGCACTGATGACAGCATGGCCTCGGGTCCCATGTACCTCCTCGCAGGGCCCCGAGCCAGCACTCAGGGAGTCTGCAGCATCTCGGAGGAAGTAGGGGACCAGTGTCCCTGAGGTGTGCCCATGGCACTCCTGCGTTGGACTCTCTGGGTGTTCCCTCTCTGTGGTTCTTATCTGCACAGATGGAGAAAATGAGGCTATGGGAGGTGGGGAGTCCATGATTCCATGCCAGCCCCTTGGTGAGCTGCCCAGCACAGCTCCTGCCCCCAGTTTCCACCCTGAGAAGCTGGAGCCATCCTCACCACTGGGTCTGCCTCTGAGCACCTTGGAGTCACCCATCATGTTCCCCAGCACCTCCTGCATCGCACGTGGAGTGGAAGGTGGTGGGATTCTAGGCGTTTTCTGCACGTGAACTCCAGAGAGAGTCCTCAAGTCCCTGAGCCCACGGGTCAGCCCCTCAGAAAGCAGCTCTTATGGACTGAACTGCACCCCGCAAATCTATACACTGAAGCCGTGACCCCCAGTCTGAACATCTCCTTTAACTCCCATTGGAGATGGGACATTAAAGGAAAGAAGGTTAAGCGGGGTCCTTGCGGTGGGCCCTGATTCCAGAGGACCTTGTCTTTCTAAGAAGAGGAGATCAGGACACAGACAGACGCGGAGCAGAGCCTGCGTGGGCTCGGAGACGCCGTCTGCACGCCGAGGAGAGAGGGTCAGAACCCAGCCCCACACACCTGCGGGCCGCGGACATCAGCCTCCTGGGCTGCGGGCAGCCACTGTGCCTTGTTCAAACCGTCCAGTCGGGGGTGCTTGGTGAGGGCAGCCTCCTGGATGAAGGCTCGTAGAAGCTGATGAGGAAGGCGGCTGTGCGTTTCTCCTTGTTCTGAGTTATAATGTACAATGCTAATGCTGAGCTCTGGAAACTAAACAGCTTTTCTTTTTTGTGGATATTAAGAACCCCATGGCTGGGGGTATACACTGTTCCTATCCCGGGTTACAGATGGGGAAATGGGGGCTCCCAGAGGCTCCAGCTGGGAGGCTGTGGGAGGTCGAGGCACCTGCCGAACTCAGGGGGGTGTCTGCCTCACTGGCTCCCCTGCCCCACCCGAAGCTCCCTATAGTTCCTCCCTCAGTCCTTCACCAGGCACACAGGGCCCTGCCAGTTCATGAAAAGAACTGACCCCCCTGCTCCACCACCACCAGGAGGACGGTCCCGGTGTTGGGAAACCTGCTTCACAGTGGAGGACACAGGCAGCAGCATGGAGCATGGTTTTAGTTGGAGCCGACGTCAACACAGGGATGTGGAGGGGCTGGGGAAGGCCCCACCCACAAAGAGCCCAGCCAGAGCAGGGGGGCAGGAGACAGGTGTGCTGAGTGGTGTGGTGGAGCAGGTGGTGCAGCAGACCAGGTGGCATGGCAGACCAGGCCACATAGGGGACCAGGTGGCGTGGTAGGTCTGGTGGCACAGTGGACCAGGTGGCGTGGTGGACCAGGTGGTGTGGTGGGCCTGGTGGCACGGTGGACCAGGTGGTGTGGTGGGCCTGGTGGCGTGGTGGAGCTGGCAGCACAGTGGAGTGGGCATCACGGTGGGCCTGGTGGCACGGTGAACCAGGTGGCGTGGTGGGCCTAGTGGCATGGTGGACTAGGTGGCGTGGTGGGCCTGGTGGCACGGGTGACCAGGTGGCGTGGTGGGTCTGGTGGCATGGTGGAGCTGGCAGCGCAGTGGAATGGGCATCATGGTGGGCCGGGTGGCATGGTGGACCAGGTGGTGTGTTGGGCCTGGTGGTGTGGTGGAGCTGGCAGCACAGTGGAGTGGGCATCATGGTGGGCCGGGTGGCATGGTGGACCAGGTGGTGTGGTGGGCCTGGTGGCATGGTGGAGCTGGCAGAGCAGTGGAGTGGGCATCACGGTGGACCAGGTGGCGTGGTGGGCCTGGTGACACGGTGGACCAGGTGGTGTGGTGGGCCTGGTGGCATGGTAGAGCTGGCAGAGCAGTGGATTGGGCATCACGGTGGACCAGGTGGCGTGGTGGGCCTGGTGACACGGTGGACCAGGTGGTGTGGTGGGCCTGGTGACACGGTGGACCAGGTGGTGTGGTGGGCCTGGTGGCATGGTAGAGCTGGCAGAGCAGTGGATTGGGCATCACGGTGGACCAGGTGGTGTGGTGGGCCTGGTGGCATAGTGGAGCTGGCAGCGCAGTGGAGTGGGCATCACGGTGGGCCGGGTGGCACGGTGGATTAGAAGAGGAGAGGCGGCCCTGGGATGCTCAGCGGGGAGGGGCCCAGAACAGTCAGGATTTCTCCCGTGATTCCCAGGGGCCGAATCCCCAGTTGGGAGCTGAGGTGCGATGAAGCCCAAGGGCTGAGGGTCCGAGGTGGGTCCTCCACTGCCTCCCTGCAGCCCACACTGGGCCCGGCAGGGCGGAGATGTTGGGGCGATGCTGCCTCGTCCCACCCTCAGCCCAGCCCTGGGATGCAGGCTCAGCGGCCCCTGGGTTCCATCAGCGGCCCCAGGACTCACTCGGGTCAGGCACAGTGTCCAGGCTGTGTGAGTCTCCAGGAGCTGCTGGAACAAAATAGCATGTACGCTGTGGTTTCGAACTACAGAAACCCGTTCTCACGGTTCTGCCTCCTGGAGTCTGACGGGCCTGCTCCCTTGGGAGGCTCCAGCAGAGGGTCCTCCCTGCCTCTTGCAGTGGCTGTGGCTGACGGCATCCTTGGCTGTGGCTGCACGGCTCCAGCCTCTGTGTCTGTTTGCGTGGGGCCGTCTGCGCTGAGTCCAGATTTCCTTCTCCCTGTAAGGGAGTGGTGCCCACCCTAATCTGGTATGACCCCACTCTAACTCGATCACATCTGCTAGAACCTGATGCCGAGTCAGACCCACTCACAGGTAGGGGTCAGGATCTCCCGTCTCTTACTGCAGACCGAAGCTCTAAGTCGAATACAGCACGTCTCCGCTGCTGAGCTCATGGAGGAGGGGGAGGGCCGGCAGGTGCGTCTTCATTCCGGCGTACCATGGCCAGGAGCGGACTTTGGGGCAGCTGAGGTCCGATCTGCCAGCCCAGCTGCGTCGGGGGAGCCCCTCCACCCTGAGGGAAAGAACCCTGCCCACATTCGGCTCTCCCACCCGCCTTGTTTATGGCAGATCAATAAATGTTTGATGGGTGAACAAATGATCCTCAGCACCATCCTCAGCCGCCGCCCCCACCTGCCTCCACGTGCCAGGCAACTCCACGAGTGTTGCTTGGGGGCCCAGGACACTGTCTTGCATGAGGGATCACGACAGTTGTGATGAGTTTGGGGGATTTTACTTGTGAATTTTTCCTTGTAGCTTTATTCACAGGGCTGGGTTTGCCGTCGGGGAAGCTGAGTCACGCCTGCCATGGTCTGCCGAGATGGAGTTATACCCCAACCCTGCCTATGCAGCCCAGCGGCACGGGGGAGGGAGACTAGTTCCCAGAACACACATCTTCAGCTATGAGGAAGGAGCTAATCCTGAGGACGATGGTAGCTCCGTGACGGCCCTTAGTTCCTGACACTTTTTGGTGGGGTCAAGGAGATTGAGGGGAGCTCCGGGCCCTGTGCATTGAGCATCGCTCCATAGGGCTTGGCTGACTCCAGCTCCAAAGCAGGGGCACGGACTGTGGTTCTCTGGTGACCCCAGACAAATGAAAGCCACGCTTGGCACAGCTTCACCTCCTGAAAAGGGGAGGTTTTCAGAGTCTCGTGGGAAGAAGCGTGGCGCAGGGCGCTGAGCCGTAGGAAGAGTTGGGGCTTTGCTTGCGCCCTGGCTCCGCACCTTGGGGAGCAGCCCCAGAAGAGAAGCCAAAAGCTTCTGTGGGCATGGGTGGGACGTGGGATGTATTTCCAGAGCTGCTGCCCTGATTTCCCTTGGGTTTTTCCCACGGTACGGTATCCCTCGTCCCAGGCGTCCGTGAGGTGGGACCTCGGTCATCACACTGTCTTGCCGGTTTCTTTTGCTGTTTACGGGAACCTTTTGCACGGGCTCAGGCCCAGCACAGCGGCTCACGTCTGTAATCCCAGCACTTTGGGAGGGCGAGGTGAGCAGATCACCTGAGGTCAGGAGTTTGAGAGCAACCTGGCCAACATGGTGAAACTCTGTCTCTACTAAAAATATGAAAATTAGCCAGGTGTGCTGCTGAGCTACTCAGGAGGCTGAGGCAGGGGAATCACTTGAACCCAGGAGGCAGCAATTGCAGTGAGCCGAGATGACGCCACTGCACTCCAACCTGGGTGGCAGAGCAAGAATCTGTCTTAAAAAAAAAACAAAACTGTTTTCCTTGATACAGCAGACTCCTCCTGACCTTAATGTCACATGGAAACTTCCAGTGAGGAAGAGAAAGTATCATTTCCTTGTTTGAATGGGGCTGGGCGGTTTGGTTTTCTTGTCTGTGAACACAGAGTAAACCTCTTATGTAAGCTGAACACACTCCACGTGCTAGGACCATGCCCTCTGCTCATTCCTGATGGAAAAGCTTGTGTGGGCCAAGGATCGGGTGCCCGCAGGTGAAGCAGGCAGCTCCGGCCACCCCGTTCACGTCGGTGTGTCGGGCGCCCACAGTCCGCTGTGATGGCAAGCTCACTCTGGGGCCAGTTCTGAGCCTCTGGGAATCAGCTTCCGGAAGAGTGGCCGCAGACTGGAGGAGGCGGACCTCGGCCTGTGGCTGTGGATGACTGAGTGCCCACGCACCCAGCAGAGGGGAGCTCAGAGCCCGCTCCCTTTCCTGGCCCCGGGGGTGCAGTGAGGAGCCCCCACCCAGGCCACAAGAGTCCACGGGCAGCAGCTCCAGGAAGCCAGGAGGGGAGGCGTCCGAGGCTCCCTGTCTCAAAGGTGTGAGTGTGGGACCTCTCTGCCCCTGGGGCTGCCCCTCACCCCTGAGCCTCAGGGCCTGCTGAGTGTGGGTTCTAATCCCACGGCCCTGTTCAGTGGACAAGGCTGTGACAAGGTAGCTGCAAGGTCATTCCCAGAGTAGTGGCTGGTGCCCAGGAGCTCAGGAACTGCAGCTGCCCAGGGTGCTGGAGATGGCCCCGGCTCTGAGGGAACCTGGGATTTGGGGAGGCCCCACAGCTGTGAGACCCCCATCATCTTACCCCCAGCTGAGAAAGGGATTAAACACAAGGCAGATGAGGCCTAACCCAGGTGAGCAGGTGCCTGGAGGTACCCGCCCAGGAGGCAGCATCAGGGTGGGCTCAGAACTTTCCACAGGGCCAGGGTCCCAAGATGAATTTCCTGACCAAGGTTGTCTCAAGGGCAGAGTCTCAGGGCTACCTGGGGCCCAGGGAAGGGGTGGGTGTCGGGGGAAGCTGAGCCCGAGAGTCCTCCGGGGGCCAGATGGGACTCGGGACTGTGTGAGGATGGCGGCAGAGATCCGGCAATTCGCCTCCCTGGTGAGGGCAGTGAGGATTGCCGGAAGCACCAGAAACTCACAGGGGCCTGGAGTGGACCCTCCCTCAGATCCTCAGCCGGAACCAGCCCTGTGCACACCTTGAGCCTGGGAAAGAATAAGTGCCGTTTCAGATCCCATCCTCAGTGTGTGGTCATGTCCCTGGGCAGCCACCGGGGAGGCACACAGACCTGCAGAGGCCCAGCATGGACGGCCGGGGGAGGGTGGCTCCGTGGTGGGGGTATGGCCAGGTCCCCCAGCCTGCAGCGGCTGTTCTGGGTGAGTTCCGCAGTCTATGGCCGCAGAGGCCCAGGAAGCTGGGAGGGGTTTGAATAGGATACAAGAAATGGGGAGCCACAGGTGGTTCTTGAACTGGGGAGTGGCAGGGTGATATGGCTGCACAGAGGAAGGAAGCCAGCAGATAGGAGTGGGAAGGGCTACACTGAGGCTGACGGCCCCTCCAGGTCATGCACAGAGGGCGCCCCACCCTCCTGAGTTATGAGGAAGGGTGGGTGATTTGTGGGTTGGGTGATTTGGGGGTGCCATCTGGCAGCCTGGATGTGTCCCGAAGACAGGACGGGTTTTTAGTTTCAGGCCCTCCAGCAGGCCGGCTGGCAGGAGCTGGGCAGGGAAGAGGAGCCTGTGTCCCGTGTGGCCCAGGGCAGCGTCTGCAGAAGGCTCACCCCCGCTCTCTCTTTGCTCCTCAGGTCTCCTGACAAACACAGCCCCTGGGGGGCCCTGGGAGTGGCCTTGGCTCCCTGGAGAGCCCACGCCTGAGCCACAGTTCTCCGCCCGCCTCGGACTTGGCCCATTCTCTGCCGCCCGCACACTGTTTCCCTGTGGTCTGTGAAGGACGGCCCCAGGCCTCGGCGTCCTGAGCTCCAGTCTGTCCAGCCGACCCAAAGAGGCCGGACTCAGACACACAGGTGGGGGCGGCTCTGGGCACCAGCAATACACCGTCTGTGGGAGCCCGGCCGCGCCCAGCCCCCGCTGACCGTGGCGTTGGCCCTGCCGTCCTCGGAGGAGGAGGAGGAGGCTCCCGCAGCCACAGGAGGGTGCTGCCCAGCCCGCCTGAGACGCGACGCCCACCCCAGGGGACTGTCAGGCGCAGAATCGGCTCCTCCTGTGCCCCAGACTGTCCGAATTGCTTTTATTTTCTTATACTTTCAGTATACTCCATAGACCAAAGAGCAAAATCTATCCGAACGTGGACGCACCCTCGCTGTCGGGGTCCCTGGGGTCGCCGGTGGGGGCGGGAGGGCATGGTGGCAGAGACATGCTAGTGGCCCCGGCGGAGCGGAGAGGGCAGCCGTGGCAGCGGCGTCCACCCCAGGAGCACCCCGGCGCACCCTCGGAGGATGGCCTTTGGCTGCGCGGAGGCAGCCCGGGCGGGGCCGGCCACGGCCCCCACGCAGACGCCGAGAGGCCCCCGGGAACACAGACCGCTTTACTCCTCTGTATTTAGACCGACTTGACCGTACTAAAGTCACTTTCTGTTTTAACCAGTCGAACATGCCTCTTCTACAGCTCCATTTTTGATAGTTGGATAATCCAGTACCTGCCAAGAGCATGTTGGGTCTCCTGTGACTGCTGCCTCATTGGTCCTCCATTTAGCTCCAGAAAGCCGAGAGCACGCGAGTAACACTTGTTTGAAAGAGATCATTAAATGTATTTTGCAAAGCCTAAAGTTATATATTTAACAGTTTTTATATGTTGTATATTTGTAGAAAATCCTATTTAACAATTAACGTGGCAGTCCCGGCCATCCGGAGGGTCGGGCCGCGCCCCGTGTGTTTCTGAAGGCTCTGCGGGTGGGCCCCGGTGGGGAGGTGCTGCCCGCGGACCCCGGGGTGCCAGGCGTGGAGGCGGGACCCCGGGAGAAGCGTGCGGAGGACCGTGGCGTCCCGGACGCGTGGGTCGTGCCCGGGGAGGCCGGGTTCCCTTCGCCGCGGGCCGGGCTTGGTGGCTGCTGACCCCCTTTGGTGTCCGTATTGGTCAGCGCTGAGTGTACAATATTTTCAACCTGCTTCTTCCAATGGGTTTTGTTTCCCATTTCCTGCCCCTTTCTCCACTCACAGACCCTGAGGCCAGTCGGCAGCCCTTCTCCCCACGTCCCTGTCCTGCGTTCTGAGAAGTCCTCTGTCTTCGTGTCAGTGGGTGCAGAAGGCGGCGCCGGGCAGAGGCGCAGGCGGGGCCGGCGGGGCCGAGGAATAAGGGACAATTCTGTTTATTCTCTCCCGGCCGTGGTACGCCAGCCTCCCTCATTTTCCTGAGTTCCCGCTGAAGTATACTACCTACCAGTCCAATTAACATGAGTATCATGCTAGCTCTATCCTACTAAAAAAAAGGTAAAAAAATAACTATATAGACGCTGTTCGAGCAACCATAGACTAGTTAGGAAAGGAAATCATGTATTTAAGACCTGTTCCAGTGTCCACGAGGACCCCACCTTTCAGTCACCACAAAGTGGCAGGCATTTGTATCCTGGACTACAAGAAGGGGCTGAGTTCGGATTTGTCATCACGGAGGGGCTGGGCCTGAACAGCGCCCTTCCCGAGCTGCCCGCTCCTCGGCCTCGCCCGCAGCCTCTGCCAGCCGGTGTCCTCACGGCCTCCCAGTCGCCTGTTTCTTTGGAAAGCAAGTCTAGACCACCTCGAGGGCAGAGATCGGGAGATTTCAGATGTTACAGCATTTTTTTTCTTGTTTTACAGTATTCAATTTTGTGTTGATTCAGCTAAATTATGAGAAATAAAGAGAAACTCCTTTGATAAGCATGGCTCTTGTTCCCTGGCCGTGGTGTCCTGGAGAGAGGCTGTGGCTGATGGGGATGACAGGCGGGGCCAGCACAGAGACCCCGGGGTCAGAGCACACAGTGCCCGTGGCCCTCACGGCATAGCCGGCGCCGCCTGTGCAGGGCACATCCTCACCTGTGAGCCCTGGGTCCTTCTGCACCCACAAGGATGGCCTCTGAAGCCCAGCTCCAGACGAGTGGGCGGTGCCTGACTGCAGCCCTCTGGGGTGCTGCCATCCCAGCCTAAACACCATGTCCTGAGTCCTCCCTGGGTCTGACCTGCAGCCACCTTAGTTTCTCATTCTTCATTCCTCCCCTGGCCGATGGGGAAGCCCAGGCCGCCCGTGGGAAGCTGGCCCCACACAGGCTCCGGACACAGAGCTCCCCAAGGAGACCCAGGACTGAAGCACCCGCTTTGCGGCGACGTCTACCGGGATCCCCAAAGAGCAGCGTTGGAACCCAGGGCCGCCTTGCTGCCCACACCTGAGGCCACCTGGGTGGGACCAGTGTGCCCTTCCCAGCTGCTCTTCATAGAGCACTTTGGCCCGGACAGCTGGGCTGAGGGGCTAGGGCGTGGGCTGCCTGGCCGTCTGCACTTCCTTCCAAGGAGACATCACTGGCCTTTGGAGCCACCAAGGTGGACAGACAAGGCCTCAGCTTTTCCTGCCAGGGGCCAGGCTTATCCTGGGAGGAAGGGCAGGAGGCAGGGCCACAGCAGCCACGGGAGCACCCAGGCCAGCCTCTCCCCAATCACGAGCCTCAGTGTCTGGGCTGAAGGGTCCTCAGTTCCCTCCCACAGAGGAGGCACAGCCTGGAGTGTGGCTCTGAGACTGTGGTCAGCACAGTCAGACGGGATGGGGCAGCCTGGCCAGGAGAGGGCCACCAGCCCGTTCCTGTGTCACAGTCAGAGCTAGGAGGAGAGCAGCCCCCGCCATTGATGATACCTGAGGAGCCGCTCCACGCCCAGAGGCTGAGCACAGGAGCCTGACCCTGGGCCTGTCCTCCTGCTATGAGCCCCATGCAGGCTCTGGGGGCTGAGTCTCCCGGGAAGCTCCCTGCCACCTGGGTCGGGAGGCACCCAGGCTCTCAGCGCTGGCTGTACAAGCCCTGTCCGGCCCCCGTGTGCTCAGGGAAGAGGGTCCCTGCCTCACCTAGCTCAGGCTGGTGAGAGCACTGCCCGCCCCATCCAAGGGGAGAACTGCCTGGGTCCCTGAGGCGAGGGTCCAGGAGGGGTCCTTTGCAGGTGTGGATACCCACAGATGGGCATCATCTGCTACTGCTGTGGGGGTGGTCGCAGCCTCCTCTGTGCCTGAGAGCGGCCCTCCCAGGGCCCGGGCCAGCCAAGCCAACAGCAGTCTGCAAACGAGACACTCAGTGACAGTCCTCAGCCTCCCAAGACCCTCTTCCCAGGGCCCCCACTGGCCACCCCGTGTAGCCCCGGCAGGACAACAAGAGCAGGCTGAGGTCACACCCCAAGGGGGCAGCCTTGGTCAGGGACGGCCCTGGCCACGGCTAAGGGGTGGGGCCAGAAGTCTTCATCCTCTCATCCTGGGCAGCGGAGCAGAGTCACACACTGCGTGGTGTTCCACACGGTGGCCTGAGGCCAGCCATGCTGCCTCTCCGAGCCTCAGTTTCCCCATTGGTAGAATAAAGAGAACTTGCCAAGCTCATGAGGTGGCAGGAGGTGGAGGGTGACCAGCACTTGGGGCGAAGGTGCTCACAGTCCCTATCAAAGCCTCACACTTCCTTCCCAGGCCCTGTGTCACCCTTGAGAGGTGGCCCTGGACACTGGTGCTTGGCCATCACCCCCACCTCATGGAACCTCAGGCTCTTAGGGGTGCGTCTCCCAGGAAACTCCTCGCTCAGTGTTGGCCTTCAGAGCTGCTGTCTGAGCCGAGCTCCATCTCCCTGTAATGAGGCGTGTGACCTGGGACACGTGGCTTGCCTGAGCCTCAGCTGCTACACCACAAAGCGGGGCCCCCACGAGCCTCTGCCCTCCTGAGATCCCAGGCCAGGGTAGATTCTCCTATGAGGTCTTCCTGCTGCTGGCCCTGTCTCAGCTGTGAGGGACCCCTCCAGATTAGCCAGTTCAGACTGGATGGGATCCATGTCCCAGGGGCTGGATCCACATGGGGGCCAGCGTAGGTGAGAACAGGGCAGGAGGCAGTGGCTGGCATGGGTGGAGATGGCCCAGCAGCAGCAGAGAGCAGGCAGAAGGGCTCTGTGGGAGAGGACTGTGTACATAAGTATGTGAGCGTGTGCCCCTATGGTTTGTGTGGTGTATGTGCATATGCAGTGTGTATGTATGTATAACTGTGAGCATGTGTGTGTCATGTGTGTGCCTGTGTGAGCATGTGTGTGCATGTGTGTGCCTGTGTTTGTGCCTGTGTGTGCCTGTGTGTGTATATGTGTGTGTGCACCTGTGGGTTTGTGCCTGTATGTGTGTATGCATGTGCATATGTTTATGTGCATGTGTGTGACTGCGTGTGTGTGTGTGTGTGCATGTGTCTGTGACTGTGTGTGCATGCGTCTGTGACTGTGTGAGCATGTGTGTGCATGTGTGTGCCTGTTTGTGCCTGTGTGTGCCTGTGTGTGTATATGTGTGTGTGCACCTGTGGGTTTGTGCCTGTATGTGTGTGCATGCATGTGCATATGTTTATGTGCATGTGTGTGCTTGTGTGTGACTATGTGCATGTGTGTGCGCATGTGCCTGACTGTGTGTGCATGTGTCTGTGACTGTGTGTGCATGTGTGTTTGTGACTGTGCATGTGTGTGCATGTGTCTGTGACTGTGTGTGTGCATGTGTGTGACTGTGCATGTGTGTCTGTGACTGTGCATGTGTGTGTGCATGTGTCTGTGACTGTGTGCATGTGTGTGCATGTGTGTTTGTGACTGTGTGCATGTGTGTGT